CCCCTGAGGGGTCCCAGATTGCGAGAGGGTGTAGGCCGGGCATGCACCGGGCCTCGTTTAATATAATAGTCCCTAATTAAACTTGCCAGTTTTGCTTTGCCCTTTTTACATTTTTACCAAATTTTTGTGCACCGGGCCTCTAGTTTAATATAATAGTCCCTAATTAAACTTGCCGGTTTTGCTTTGCCCATTTTACATTTTTATTACTAAATTGATCATGAAACCTAACACTACAACACCCAAATATTTATGGATGGCCAAAACTAGCTGATCTTCTTTTAATGGTCCCAGAGAAGCCCTGAACATCAGAACATCAACCAAATTATTCTGGGAGATGGTATTTGATGACCAATGAAAAAAAACGCTCAACAGTTATCTCCTTAACAAGTTTTGTTTTTGTTAAACAGTGAAGCTATTTTCTTCGGAAAAATGTTTTGTGAACCAAAAAACTACGTCTGTAAGAGTTTTATTAAAAATTATGACCTAACCTTAACCGGTTTGGCTCAGGGGTAGAGCGTCGGCCTGTGGACTGAAAGGTCCCAGGTGCGATTCTGGTCAAGGGCATGTACCTTGGTTGCGGGCACATCCCCAGTGGGAGGTGTGCAGGAGGTAGCTGGTCGATGTTTCTCTCTCATTGATGTTTCTAACTCTCTATCCCTCTCCCTTCCTCTCTGTAAAAAAAATCAATAAAATATATTAAAAAAAAATTATAACCTAAATTGAAAAAATAGACCCCAGAACTTGTAATTATATATCATCCTTCTTGAGCTTGTATTGTTTAAGCCAAGGATCCAGCCTGCCAGTTAATTGTAAATGAAGTTTTATTGGAACTCTGCCACACCCATTCATTATTATCTATGGTTATTTTCATAAGAAGCTAGAACAGACCATATGGGCCCTCAAGAGTTTGAAGTATTTACTACCTGCATCTTTACAAAAAAAGCTTGCCAATAGCTATTTTTAACACTTTTATTAAAAATCTTAATTTTAATTGTTAAGAATGTAAATATTTTTCCTGTTTTTTTTTTTTTGTTTTTTGTTCTAAACACGGGTTGATAATCTTTGTGGACTAGCCTGGATATCTAAATACTACTTATAACATTGTTTCTATGGATTCTTTAAAATATGTAATCAACCAATTGTACAAGGAGTTTTAGAAAACAGCCTATTTGTAGATGAGGGGCATTACTTGACTCAAATAACCAACCAATGATAGGCCTGAAATGCTCTAGAAATCAGGTTTACAGTACTTTTTTTGAAATCAGGTTTATGGAACCAGTGTCATAGAAAGTTGTTGACAATAATAGTAAGCACTATTTCAACACAAACTTAAGGTTTATTTACTCACATTTATAAACAAAAAACTCCTCTAATACTAATAATTCCACAATTCTTAAAATTAAGAACCAAGATAGCTTTTAATACTATATGGCATTAATTTTTTCAGATAATATACAACTTTGTTATAAGCATTTTTCCTTTTCTCAACCAAACACATTTTACCCACACTTCTAAAGTGCGAGGGAACAGCCCCCAGAGCAGTGCAATAAATGAGGGGGGTGGAGGGGGTCAGATAACTGGAAAGCAAGACTTACCTTCCTGTGACGTGTATCCTGCACTGTTATTGGTGGTATTTTATGCTTGAGTTATACAGCACACACATTTCTCTTTTCAACTAGTTTTCCATAAAGATTAAAATACAACTAAATTTTTCTAAAAATTCTCAAAATAATCATTACATTTTCACACTATTTAATGGAAAAATAAAACCAAGCTACCAAACCTATGATTTAGACAAAAAAGTCTTTATTCAACAAAATGTAAAAATATAATTTACATATCATATCACAATTAATCAATACAGTCAAAATTGCACAATTACACATTTATAAAAATTCCACACATCATCCTCAGAATAATCTGTTTCTGTACAAAGATTTACAGCTGTCCAATGTATGTAATTTTTCCTCAGTGTGCTACTGAGTTCAGAGGTTCTGCTCGAATATTCCCCAAATCAAGCGCAGAATCTGTTTCTTCATCAATTTCTCCAATGACTGCGCTGCAATTAGTTGAGGAGAAAAAAAAAAAAGTTAAAACAATCTCATTTCTGAATAAAACTGAGAGGATCAAAGTAAAAAGAACTACTTAATTTGAAAACCAAACTTTCCATGAAGTAACAAAACTCAAAAAGAAATCATTGGAAGGCAACGTTATTACAGGAACTAATATTAAAGGACATATTTCATGTAGTGTGATTCAATCATAAGTTTTTAAAGAAAAAAGACACAAATGGGATAGGTACAGTATAAAAGCCCAAAACTTCCAATCCTATGATTTCAACTCTAGGAACTCTATTAGGGAGGTCTGAGAAGAGGGGAGAATCACAAAATCACTACTAAATAAGAAAATAAAGCATCTTTTACTTAAGTAACTGTTAGATTTGATAGAGCAATTGAATCAATACCCTTCTCCCCGGGAACTGGCTTTTCAGGCCATTTCACTATGGACATTCCCTTTGCTGAAACCACATTTCACTTGCTGCTACTACATTCCATTATCTCCCCTCCTGGTATGCATAAAGAAGTCTCCGCCCAGGAAAGCCCGCCAAAAGTCCTTTAAAAGCCGCTGACTCCTGTCACTGGGGGCTGGAACCATCCAGGCTCAGCCACTTGATGTGCAGATAATCGATTCAATTCATAATCCCTCAACATTTTGGCCTCATGCATTCCTCCTTCAGCGACCTACCAGTAATGTCAATGAACTAAATCCATAAGGGGTGTATAATATTGATTAGTAACTAGTAGCCCGGTGCACAAAAATTTGTGCACTGGGGGGGGGGGGGGGGCCCCCCAAATTTAAAAAT